AAACAGTCAGATTAACAGAGGTTAATGAACATCCCTTAATCCCTAAACATTCCGAATGTTGGCGAACACATATCAATAAAGTCACCAGCGATCTCTAATTACTCACAGTGTTTGCTAATGTATGTGAACAATTGATTGATACTTCGATCCCCAGGTGAAAATTGGAGTATATATACTGATAATCAGTCAAATTCCTGGCTACACTTAATTGAATACAAATCTATTTTGATTACTTCTTGTTTTATTTAAAGGTGTCCTATCTTGTATTTCTCCACCAAATTAATTTTTCCTCGCAGAAAAAAGGAAATTTTCCTCCTCACAAATCATTGCTCAGCCTGCCCCAAGATACCATAGTATACTATATAGCTTGTACGTAAGTTATTAAACCTCTTACACTAAGGCAAATAAAGAATGCTAACTTTTAGCTGAAATATGGTAGCAGTACACAGCCATTTCACTTATATATTCCAGTGGAAGGAACTTCAAGAAAGTCAAAACTCCAAAATTTAAATATTAATGATTAAAAAAAGGTAAATAGAAAAAGATACCAGGTACTCAGATTTGCATTTTTTTTTATTTGAAATTAAAATTTTTTCTAATTTTCAATTTTTAATAGTAAACTTTTCATTAGTTTTTAGTTATTAAGTTTAAAAAAGCACATTTAGTAATATTTTTCTGATATCCTCTCATATCCTTTTTATAAAATTTTCTGACGGTCTTTTATAAAGAAAAAAAATGAAATGTCATTGTTCTTGGTTTTTTTTTAATAACCTGTGATTCTCTGAAAAAAATTCAACTTATGACGTAATGGGTATACTGTGTAATAACTGAATGATTAATAGAGAGTTTCCTTTGTAAATAATTGATGACTGTGAAGATGCACATTTTTTTTGTTGTAGGAATAAAGAATGGTGGGCAAATATGTATCTCTATATTAAAATCAAAGTGGTTTAAGTCTTCCTTGCTACCCTGGCAGTCACTTCCAACATATATGCTGTCAATTTTAATAATATGGCAAAACCGGTCTAGTTACAAATATTATGATTGATTTACTAGGAGGTGAGGGGTGCAGAGGGATATTGTCAATAAAACAGTAATGTCTTTATCAGAACGCAAGTAGTTTTTAAGATAGAGTAAGGTGTCAGTTGATTCCAGGTACCAGTAGAATGTGTGTAATTTCATTTGCCAGCATTTTTAATTGTGTCTTAAAATTACTTCGATGTACGTTTCATTGCTGATGGCAGTCCAGAACTGTAGCAAGCACTTTCAAATTTCTTTTTCTGAAAATGTGGAGCTTTCTCCCCTAAATTTGAGGTATTGGAATAACTATCGGATTTTAAATCAGAGTAGACCTTTTCAAGCTAAAAGAGTAATGCTTACAAACCCCAGCCCCCCCCCCCCCCCCCCCCCCCCCCCCCCCC